GGGCTGGTGCTGTGGCTCAATAGGCTAATCTTCCGCCTGCGGCATGGGCACCCCGGGTTCTAGTCCTGGTTGGGGTGCAGGATTCTGTCCTGGTTGCTCCTCTTCCAGTCCAGCTCTCTGCTGTGGCCCGGGAGTGCAGTGGAGGATGGCCCAAGTGCTTGGGCCCTGCACCCACATGGGAGACCAGGAGGAAGCACCTGGCTCCTGGCTTCTGATCGGCGCAGTGCGCCAGCCGTGCCTTAGCAGCCATTTGGGGGGTGAACCAATGGAAGGAGGACCTTTGGCTCTGTCTGCTCTCTCACTGTCTAACCCTGCCTGTCAAAAAAAAAAAAAAAAAAGTTGGTGCCTACGTCAAGAAATTGGAAAGGTACCAAAAAAATGAGCAATCAATGCACCTCAAGGACCTAGAGAAACAAACTAAACCCAAAATTAAAGGGAGGAAAGAAATAATTAGAGAAAAAATAAACAAAATTGAACCAAAAAAAAGTTTTAGTGAAATGAAGAGCTTTTTTTTTTTTTTCCAAAAAACAAAACAGATATACCATTCACATCATAAAAGAGCGGGAGAAGACCTAAATCAATAAAATCAGAGATGAGAATGGAAATGTAATAACAGATACCATAGGAAAAAAATATCAGGGATAGGTACAAAGAGCTGTAGGCCAACGAACTGGGAAACCTAGAAGAAATGGACAAATTCCTGGACACACACAGTCTATCAAAACGAAGTCAAGAAGACAGAGAAATTCTAAACAGACCAATAACCATGCCAGAGATTGAATCATTAATAAAGACCCTCCCAACAAAGAAAAGCCCAGGACCAGATAGCTTCACCGCTGAATTTTTTTAAATATTTATTTATTTGAAAGTCAGAGTTACACAGAAAAAGAGAGGTAGAGAGACAGAGTGGTCTTCCATCCACAGGTTCACTCCCTCAGATAGCTGCAAAGGCTGGAGCTGTGCTGATCCGAATCCAGGAGCTAAGAGCTTCCGGGTCTCCCACATGGGTGCAGGAGCCCAAGGACTTGGGCCATCTTCTGCTGCTTTCCCAGGCCACAGCAGAGAGCTGGATCAGAAGTAGAACAGCTAGGACTCAAACCGGAGCCCATATGGGATGCAGGCACTACAGGCAGCGGCTTTACCCGCTACGCCACAGCACTGGCCCCTTCACTGCTGAATTCTACCAGACATTTAAAGAAGAACTAATTCCAATTCTTCTCAAGCTATTCAAAACAACTGAAGAAAGGGAAGCCTCCCAAACTCCTTCTATGAGGGCAGCATCACCTTAATTCCTAAACCAGAAAAAGATACAACACAGAAAGAAAACTATAGGCCAATATCCCTGATGAACACAGATGCCAAAATCCTCAATAAAATACTAGCTAATCGAATCCAACTACACATCAGAAAGATCATTCACCTGGACCAAGTGGGACTTATCCCTGGTATGCAGGGATGGTTCAACATTCACAAATCAATAAATGTGACACATCACAACAAAAAACATGATTATCTCAATAGATACAGAGAAAGCATCTGAGATAAAATACAACTTTTTATGATATAAACCTTAAGGAAATTGGGTATAGAATGAACATTCCTCTACAGAATCAGGGCAACTTATGGCAAAACCATAGCCAGCACCTTACTGAATGGGGACAAGGTGGAGGCATTCCCACTAACATCCAGATCCAGACAAGGATACCCACTCCCACCACTGCTATTCGATATAGTCCTGGAAGTTTTGGCCAGAGCCATTAGGCAAGAAAAAGAAATCAAAGGGATATAAATTGGAAAGGAAGAAGTCAAATTATCTCTGTTTGCAGATGACATGATTCTAAATATACATGACTCCACTGAGACAACTGGAACTCATGAGTTCAGAAAAGTGGCAGAATATAAAATTTACAAACAGGGGCCAGTGCTATGGCATAGTCGGCTAAGCCTCTGCCTGCTGTCTTGGCATCCCATATGGGCAGTGGTTCATGTCCCAGCTGCTGCTCTTCCAATCCAGCTCTCTGCTATGGCCTCGGAAAGCAGTGGAAGATGGCTCAAGTGCCTGGACCCCTGCAATCACATGGGAGACCTGGAAGAAGCTCCTGGCTCCAGGTTTTGGACTGACCCAGCTCTGGCCATTGCAGCCATTTGGGGAGTGAACCAGTGGATGGAAGACCTTTCTCTCTGTCTCTCCCTCTGTCTGTAACTCTACTTCTCAAATAAATTTAAAAAATTAAAAAAAATAACACACACAGAAATAGCCTTTGTATACAGAGGAAATGTCATGGCTGAGGAAGAACTTCTCAGATCAATCCTATTCACAATAGCTACAAGAATTAAATACGTTGGAATAAATTTAACCAAGGATGTCAAAGATCTCTATGATCCAAATTACAAAACATAAAAAAAAGAAAGAAATAGAAGAAGACACAAAAAAATGGAGAACTCTCCCAAGTTCATGGATTGGAAGAATCAGTATCATCAAAATGTCCATACTACCAAAAGCAATTTACAGATTCAATGTGAAACCAATCAAAATACCAAGGGCATTCTTCTCAAATCTAGAAAAAAATGCTAAAATTCATATGGAAACACGAGACCCTGAATAGGTAAAACAAACTTACACAACAAAGCTGGAGGCATCACAATATCAGATTTCAAGACATACTACAGGGCAGTTGTAATCAAAACATCCTGGTACTGGCATAAAAATGGACATGCAGACCAATGGAACAGAATAGAAACCCCAGAAATCAATGCACTCATCTATAACCAACTAATCTTTGACAAAAGAGCTAAAATCAATCCTTGGAGAAAGAATAGTGCTGGGAAAACTGGATCTCTGCCTGCAGAAGGATGAAACAAGACACTTACCTTGCACCTTACACAAAAACCCACTCAAAATGGATCAAAGTCCTAAATCTATGACCTTATACCATCAAATTACTACAGAACACTGGAGAAACTCTGCAAGACATTAGCATAAGCAAAGACTTCTTGGAAAATACCCAGAAGCACAAGCAATCAAAGCGAAAATTGAGAAATGGGATTACAGCAAGCTGAGAAGCTTCTGCACTACAAAGGAAACGCTCAGCAAAGAGGCAACTGACAGAATGAGAGAAAATATCTCAACCTACGCAACTCTTAAAGGGTTAACATCCACAATCTATAAAGAGCTCAAGAAATTCAACAAAAACAAAACAAACAACTCAGTTAAGAAATGGATGGAGGACTTGAACAGGCATTGTTCAAAAGTGGAAATTCAAATTGCCCGACACGTCAAAAAATCATCAGGAAATGCAAATCAGAACCACAATGAAGTTTCATCTCACCCTAGTTAGAATGGCTCTCATACAGAATAACAAATGCCCACAAGGATGTGGGGGCAAAGGTACACTAATCCAGTGTTGGCAGAATGTAAACTGGTGCAGCCAGCGTTGAAGACAGTATGAAGACACCTTAGAAATCTGAATACAGACCTACAATATGATCAAGCAATCCTACTCCTGGGCATTTACCCAAATGAAAATAAATTGGCATATGAAAGAGTAATCTGTACCCCCATGTTCACTGCAGCTCAATTCACAATAGCTAAGGTATGGAATCAACCCAGATGTCCATCAACTGATGACTGAACAAAGAAATTATGGTATGTATACACTATAGAGTACTATTCAGCTGTAAAGCAAACAAAAAACTGAAATCCTATCATTTGCAACAAAATGGATTCAACTGAAAACCATTATACTTGGTGAAATAAGCCGGTTCCAAAAAAACAGGTTTCCTATGTTTTTCCTGACCTGGGGTAACTAACAGAGTACCTAGAATGTAATGTACTGGAGTGAAATGGACATTTTCAGATTCAGTAACTATTTACAGCCCTTATCTCTACTGTTGAGGAACATTGTTTTTTTCTTCATACTATTTCCTGAACTCTTTACTTAGTGTAGAGTTAATTTTATGAGTACAAAGTATACTGAAAATAGATCTTTGTTAAAATTAAGAGAACAGGAGAGGGAGGAGGCTGGGCTGGTGCACGGCAGGAGGGAAGGTAGGGTGGGAAGTATCATTATGTTCCTAAATCTGTATATATGAAATACATGAAACTTGTATACTTGAAATGAAATTTTAAAAAATATTTTATCAAAAGAAACCTTCGCTCTATTTCCTACTTGCTGGAGAAAAAAGTAAATTATAAGAAAAATAAGTTACTTGTGATACAAAAGTAACTATCATGGTATGGTATGCATATAGTACACAATTACCTCAACTTTTTAGAAATCGCACAAAATCATCATTCTGTTAGCTTTTTAAAAAAACTGTAAGCTTCCAAGAGATTTAAATAGGCTAAGATAGTATATTTGATATATAAAGGAAGTTATAACAGTAAATTTAAAATGACTTTCTAAAACATCAACAATAAATCACAATTTTTTTAAATTTACAATTACAGGATGTGTTAATTACCCCAAGAAATGCTATATAACATTTTCTTGGGGCCAGTGTTATGCCGTGGCAGGTCAAGCCTCTGCCTATGATGCCAGCATCTCATATGGGCACCAGATTGAGACCTGGCTGCTTCATTTCCGATCTAGCTCTCTGCTATTGCATCCTGGGAAAGCAATGGAAGATGGACAGGTACTTGGAACCCTGCACCCATGTGGGAGACATGGATGAAGCTGCAGGCTTCTGGCTTCAGCCTGGCCTAGCCCCAGCCATTGTAGCCATTTGAGGAAATGAAACAGCAGATGGAAGATATCTATCTCTATCTACCTACCTATCTCTATCTCTGTCTCTTGCCCCCTCAACCCCATAACTCACCTTTCAAGTAAATAAAAAATAAATTTTTCCCTAATGTAATAGACTCTCCTTCTGTATAAAAACATACACCAGAATAATTCTAGTGCTAGAATATTAAGAATAAACCATTAACAGAATTAAAATCAACCTCAGATTAAGGTATTAAGTTATTTTTAAGATTGACTATTTTCTACTAATCTTACCAATTTTCAAATCATCAGCCAGACTTTCTTTTGTAAGATTTAATAGTTCTTTTCCATCAATGTTATTCATCTTGAATACACCAACAAGGTCTTTTAAACCTTGTGCACAAAGCCATGATGAGACATCCTCCTCCGACCAATCTTCAGGAAACTGCTTTGGCTGATCTTCAAGGCTCCGTGCTTAAAAAAGTCAACAAAAAGGCAAGTGAAATAATACCAAACAATAAAGTATTTCTTTCGGAAACATTTCTACTCTGAATTAAAAAGTAAATAGTTTCCTTAAATTTATGTTTTAATACTTTAACTTCCTATTAAGAATTTCAAACAACATTATTTAACAGTATCTATTTAATACTACATTAAATACTACTCTTTTGGAACTTTATTACATAAAGCTCATACCAGCAAAAGCATTCTATTTGCTCTGTCAACTGTATAGTAGCACCATTATTTGGTTAACTACAACAGTGATAAAAATAAAACTCCAAAATTAAGCACCAATGTTGCTTGATGAGACAGAAAATAAAACCAACAAAATACAACTATAATTTCTTTTCTGTCCTCAGAACATATTTATCTAAAAAGCTAGTGTAAAGTATAAACAAACAGCCTGCAGCACCATGCGACTAGTGATATACACAAGCATGCACCCAAAGCATTTACCAACAATTTTAACATGGGTCAACTACCTTAACACTAGCTTCTCTAAAATGTTTAAGTTGTACTAAACTGGAATGTATTCTTTATATTGAGAAAAGCAATGTGAGTACTTGTCAGATTTGTTGAATTGCTGATTTTAATGGACAGTGCGGTTGAGCTGGGTGACAGATGATGTACTTACTAACCTTGGCCAAGTGTTTCCAGGTCAAACTGCCAGATGTTCACTGTTTTGTCCATTGAACCAGTAGCAAGTAAAAGGGTAGTGGGTGCAAAGGCACAAGTTGTGACATACCTAGTTATTAAAAACACCTTTTACATATCTTCTAATTTTTTAATTAGCCAATTAATTAAAACACAGCAAGGTTGTTAAGTTCAGACCTGGTGTGCTGAGTCAACGTGTGAAGAATATTCTCAGTATTCTGAAAAACAACAAAGAAAAGTTTATATTTATTCAGGCAAGAGTAACAATTATAATGAACACTCACCTGACATAAATGTTTTATGTGCTAAATTTATTCTAATATTTATTACTAAAAATTCAAAACTTCATTCAATAGGAAATGGCATTAGTTATAGTACTATCAGTATTTCACCTTCTTAATTGTCAGCATTACTGTAACTCATACCTGTTACAAATTTTAGTGCAGTCCATCCGTGGCTCTTGCTGATCTGTTTGAACTTACTAATGATAACTGAACCATCTAATATAATTTGCATTTTTTCTATATTTGATTTGGACACACTACAAACCAGTGAGCGCTGTCAGTCACTTGGAATTCGAATACACTCAGGTATATAGTTATATATACCTGACATAAATATAGATATAAGAATGTATTACAAAACACATAAACACACATCATGTAATATATACATATACTTCATCAAACATTCAAATATGTTTGGGACCCAGAGATATTTTACAGAGAACATTTAGTGTTGTAACTATTTTGTGAATGTAAAATCTCATGAAAAGGTCAGGAGAAATATTAAGGATGTATTTTATTTTTATTTTTTTATTTATTTGACAGGTAGAGTTATAGACAGTGAGAGAGAGAGACAGAGAAAGGTCTTCCTTCCATTGGTTCACTCCCCAAATGGTCACCACTGCCAGCGCTGGACCAATCCGAAGCCAGGAGCCAGGTGCTTCTTTCTGGTCTCCCATGCGGGTGCAGGGGCCCAAGCCCTTGGGCCATCCTCCACTGCCCTCCAGGGCCACAGCAGAGAGTTGGACTGGAAGAGGAGCAACCGGGACTAGAACCAGCACCCATATGGGATGCCAGTGCCGCAGGCGGAGGATTAACCAAATGATCCACAGCGCTGGCCCCATTAAGGATGTATTTTAAAGAAATAGTGTACTGGGGGAAAAAAAAAAAACCTAAATGAAAGATCTCCACGAGTGAGATCCCAGTGGAAAGAATGGGTCATCAAAGAAGGAGGTACCTTTCTCTGAAGGGAGGAGAGAACTTCCACTTTGACCATGGCCTTGTCTAAATATGATCAGAGTCAGTGAACTCAGGGGGCTTCCATAGCCTTGGCAGCTCATGACAAGAGCCTAGGGTGATTACTGATGCCATAAACAAGAGTGTCAATTTGTTAAGTCAACAATAGGAGTCACTGTGCACTTACTCCTCATGTAGGATCTTTGTCCTTAGTGTGCTGTACATTGAGATTTAATGCTATAACTAGTACTCAAACAGTATTTTTCACTTTATGTTTCTGTATGGGAGCAAACTGTTGAAATCTTTACTTAATGTATGCTAAACTGATCTTCTGTATATAAAGAGAATCGAAAATGAATCTTGATGTGAATGGAAGTGGAGAGGGAGTGGATAAGGGGATAAGGGTTGCGGGTGGGAGGGACGTTATGGGGGGGAAGCCATTGTAATCCATATTCTGTACTTTGGAAATTTATATTCATTAAATAAAAGTTAAAAAAAATAGTGTAGCCTATCTGCTGGACCCTACTATATTTTGGTGATTTACTTCTCTAACTGCTGGCATAACTACAAACTGAACTCAATCATTACATGGCTCCATTCAACACTGATTTATCTTGGAGAATACCACATCTCTGTTACACGTCAGACATTCACTTTTCTGCATACTCAGGCAATTTGATTTTTTGCCCAGATGGATCCACAAAAAAATATCATTTTTCCAGTCCCAGGATAATTTACTCTTATGCTAGTCTCTAAATCTCAAAACTCTGAGAATGGTGGTCCACTATCAAGTACACTCTCTAAAAACCTTGATGTACACATTCATGAATACTTAGTAATTGACTGAATATATTTTCTTGATTCTGGTGCTTTTTCAATCTTTATCTTTTATGATCAGATTTAAAAACTGTCCACCTTGGGGCCGGTGCTGTGTCATAGCAGGAAAAGCTGCCACCTGCAATATTGACATCCCATATGAGCACCAGTTCCAGTCTCAGCTGCTCCACTTCTGATCCAGCTCTCTGCTGTGGCCTGGGAGAGCAGTGAAAGATGGCCCAAGTCCTTTGTCCACTGCACCCACGTGGGAGATCCGGAAGAAGCTCCTGGTTCCTGGCTTCGGATCGGCACAGCTCCAGCTATCAGGGCCATCTGGAGAGTGAACTAACAGATGGAAGACTCTCTCTCTGCCTCTCTGTAATTTTACCTTTCAAATAAATAAATAAATCTTTAAAAAAGAAAACTGCCCACCTTAAAATTGTTAATTAAGTATTTAAGAGCAAGCTTGCCTCAGAACAAATACCTGCATAATTATTTTAGCATTTATGAAAATGTAGAGATATTTTTCTATTATGTCTACATAAATTTAATTGAATATTCTAATAAATATAATTTACAAAGGTCACAAGATTTTGAAATACTTACAGTATCATATACTATGACAGACTTATCCACTGATCTTTGGAAGGAAAAAAGGAAATTATGAGTGAAAAGGTCTATAAAAAGAAATTATGCCATTTAAATAATTAATATTTTTCTAGCACTTCTACAACATTTTTAGAAAAGGCTAATAGTGACATACAAACATCGAGAAAGCAGTCTCTTACAGTTTATATGTAATAAACTTTTATTTTTTTATTTTATTTTATTTTTTTTTGACAGGCAGAGTGGACAGTGAGAGAGAGAGACAGAGAGAGAAAGGTCTTCCTTTGCCGTTGGTTCACCCTCCAATGGCCGCCGCTGCAGCCGGCGCACCGCGCTGATCCGATGGCAGGAGCCAGGATCCAGGTGCTTTTTCCTGGTCTCCCATGGGGTGCAGGGCCCAAGCACCTGGGCCATCCTCCAAAATTATACGATACGTAAGTCAAAAAATAACTATTTAAAATGGCATATTCTATTTATACTACATAGCCATAAATAGAATAGGCATCTAGGATGTTTAATTAAGACACAAGTCCAGGGTCCAGCTCCGTGGTGCAGTAGGTTAATCTCTCGCCTGCGGTGCAGGCATCTTACATGGGCGCCGGTTCTAGTTCTGGCTGCCCCTATTCTGATCCAGCTCTCTGCTGTGGCCTGGGAAAGCAGAAGATGGCCCAAGTCCTTGGGCCCTTGCATCCATGTGGGAGACCTGGAAGAAGCTCCTGGCTCCTGGCTTCAGATTAGCTCAGCTCTGGCCATTACCGTCATTTGGGAAGCAAACCAGTGGAATGGAAGACCTCTCACTCTCGAGCTCTACCTCTCTGTTACTCTTTCAAATAAATAATTGTTTTAAAAAAAACAAATTTACTTCTATTGTTTTCTCTAATATTAATAATAGTGTTTTTTACCACCCTCATATACAATGCATGGTGAGGAAATAGTATTTGTATATCAACAATATAAATGTTAATACTTTCTAAATAATATCTGTACTTATTATTACTAAAAGGTAGCTGATCACACTTATTAGAAGGTTTGAAATCCATTCTTTGCTCAGTTGGCCATCCAATGTTCATCACATGATATTAACTATAAAATCAATGTCATCAGTTCCAAATAGGAATTATACATCACCGTTTATTTTCAATGCATTAATGTTTCTTCCCATATAGAAAGGATTTGCAGTCTCTTACAAAATGTGACAAAAACAAGATAAATATTATGTGAGGAAACTACAGAGGAAAGGAACACAAGGATGAACCCGAGGGAGAGAAATGAAGGTTAAGATGAGTGTACAAAATACACGTAAGATCCAATCTACTTGGCTAAGGAGGGCTGCGGGGGCAGGGGACGCCCTGCAAAGTCGCTTCTGAGCTTCTTCAACAGCAATGCAAAAATAGAAATATAACCAGTTACACAATTAAGATAGAAAGACAATCCAGTCAGAAACAATATTAGCAGCTAACATTACTTGAGTATGTACATTAGACATAATTTATAGGCACTTTATGCAGTCCTAGATTCCTCAAGGTACAAACTGTTATCTCTGGAATACCTAGAATTCTTGGGGAAAAATCCATTTGTTCTGAGCATCTTAAAAACAACAACTACTAAGGAGTGATGCTAGCAAGATAGCACACTAGGGCTTCCTGGTACTCATCCCATTACAGAAACATCAATTTGAACAACTACCCATGCATGAAAACACCTTAATAAAAGATAAGAAAACCAAGTCTCTAGCTACAGCAACATGGCTAGGAATCAGGAGTGATTTTTCTTTTCCAACTTTTTTTTTTTAATAAAGATTTATGATGACAGGGACAAGCATTCTGGCACAACAGTTTAAAATGCTGTTTGTGCCACCTTCATCTCATACTGGAGTGCAGGTTTGAGTCTTGGCTACTCCACTTCCGATTCAACTTCCTGCTAATGTGCTTGGAAAAGCAGCAGATGGTCCAAGTACTTGGGTCCCTGTCATCCACATGCAGGATGGTGCTCCTGGCTTTGGCCTGCCCCAGCCCTGACTATTGCAGGTATTTGGAGAGTGAACCAACAGATGGAAAATCTCTCTTGACACCTTAATCTCAATCTCTCTCTCTGCCTTTCAAGTAAGATTAAAATAAAGGAACACAACATTTCTTTAAAAATTATTTTATGATGACAAAAGGAAAACCAGCCAACTGAAACTAATACACTCTAAAAAAATAAGTGAACCGGTTATAGAGTAAACTGGCTTTTGGTTACTTGATTACTTGAGCCTGGCCCTTCTAAACATATTAATAGCCAAAATTTCATTTGGAAACAGCTAGAACTCAGTCATGCTAATTTTATTTAGAAAATGGTCCTTCCATCTGGTTCCCATTACACTGTATCTTGAATACAATCCTCACTGGTGTCAAAACAACAACAAAACTAACAGGAAATTCCACCTTCTGAGACCACCACCAGATGCAATTAAAACTAAATCATTTGTGACATATCTCTTGAGAAGCAGGATCACCATTAGTAATCTTTATGAGTACTGAACAGGGAACACAGAAAATAGAGTAACATGCAGAAGTCCACAGATGGGAACAGCAAGCAGTTAGGCTGAAAATGCAGACAGGATATTTGAAAGGATAAAGCACCTCGAGTGTCTATCCAAGGAATTCAATTTCACAAGTAGCAAGTAGATAGCAGGTGAAGGCAGTGGGACAGATTCACTTGCAGATGAGATACAGAAATGAACGGAGAAGTAAAAGGCCCAACTATCAGAAGTCTATCAGAAACTATTAGAAGTCTTACAAATTTAAGCAAAAAGAATCCAGAGACCCACAGACTATCAGAGATAAAAAGGATTTTAAACTCACCTCCTATTGCCTCTCACCTAAAATGTTGACTCAAGAGCAGACTCAAAAAACCTCTGAACTATGAAAACAGAAAAGCCTGAACATACTCCCTAATTTGACACAGAATCAACAATAAACAAAAATTCCGGGCCGGCGCCGCGGCTCACTAGGCTAATCCTCCACCTAGCGGCGCCGGCACACCGGGTTCTAGTCCCGGTCGGGGCGCCGGATTCTGTCCCGGTTGCCCCTCTTCCAGGCCAGCCCTCTGCTGTGGCCAGGGAGTGCAGTGGAGGATGGCCCAGGTGCTTGGGCCCTGCACCCCATGGGAGACCAGGAAAAGCACCTGGCTCCTGGCTCCTGCCATCGGATCAGCGAGGTGCGCCGGCCGCGGCGGCCATTGGAGGGTGAACCAACGGCAAAGGAAGACCTTTCTCTCTGTCTCTCTCTCTCACTGTCCACTCTGCCTGTCAAAAAAAAAAAAAAAAAAAAAAAAAAAAAAAAAAAAAAATTCCAACTGTTTGATGTCCCTGGTTGTAAACTGTTTGCACGCTATAAATCTTCCTCCAACTTTTCAGTACACACATTCCAGCACAATCTGTCCCGCACTGGACTTTTCGTTATGCGGCAGGTACTAGTATTCAAGCCTCGGATACGCTATCCCTAAGGTTTTGTAGTTCTCAAAAACCGCAACTGTGCTCATGCAAGAACACAAAAGAAAATACAATAGTTATTATCTAGACAGCTACTGGACAAGATCAGTAGCACATGAAATTACATGTATGACATGGAAGAGCATACAAAAAGACTCAAAGCAGATCCATTACACTGTCAAGATGCTGTACAGCAACATACATCAGCACCTAAAGCAGTTTGTTCCAAACTAACTTTGCACAGTGACCACAAAAGTCATCAAATGATGCTACCAACAATTAGTTCTTCAAGTCAAGTATGCTCCTAAAGTTGAAGATTTATTTTATACATCAATATTTTCTTTTTCTTTCTTTTTTTTTTTTTTTTTTTTTTTTTTTTTTTTGACAGGCAGGGTTAGACAGTGAGAGAGAGAGAGAGAAAGATCTTCCTTTTCCATTGGTTCACCCTCCAGTGGCCACTCCAGTCGGTGTGTTGTGGCCGGCGCGCTGCGCCAATCTGAAGCCAGGAGCCAGGTACTTCCTCCTGGTCTCCCATGCGGGTGCAGGGCCCAAGCACCTGGGTCATCCTCCACTGCACTCCGGGGCCACAGCAGAGAGCTGGACTGGAAGAGGAGCAACCAGGACAGGACCGGTGCCCCAACCGGGACTAGAACCCGGGGTGCTGGCGCCGCAGGTGGAGGATTAGCCTAGTGCGCCACGGCGCCGGCCAATATTTTCATTTTCAATGCATTTGTTTCTTCTCACGCAGAAAAGATCTGCAGTCTCTTACAAGCCATGACAAAAACAAGATAAATATTATGTGAGGAAACTACAGAAGAAAGGCACACAAGGATGAAATTAGGGAGAGCAATGAAGGTAAAGATGAGTGTACGAAATACATGTAAGATCCAATCTACTTGGCTAAGGAGGGCTGCAAGGTTACTTCTGAGCTTCCTCCACAGCAATGCAAAAATAGAAATATAACCAGTTACACAATTTATGACAGAAACACAATCCAGCGCTTGGAAAAAAGACACCCATTCCCTAGACTGACAGCTAACAGAACTTCTTCTACCAAGTTCTTTACAGTGAGGATTTCTGAAACAGAAACGAAGTCCTCAACAATTCTTCCTGAATGAACACAGTGAGTCTCAAAAGAGCTGTTTTGTAATGTCCATCAGTACAGGCCAATGGTAAAAGGTCCATTCAGAAAGATCAGCAATAATAAAGAGGTAAAATGATGCTATACAATTCTTTGATGCTTTGGATTACATAAAAAATATATAGGAGTAGGCATTTGCCGTAGTAGTTAAGATGCCACTAAAGATGCCCGCATCCCACATCCGAATGCCTTCTGTGAAGAACCGTGAACATGGACTGGAATGCTACTGCCTGCTGGATGAGGCAGGAAAGCGAGGGGAGATAAAGTACATGAAAGTATTCGAAAGGAGAGTAGAAAGTAATCAAATAATGCTACTGTGTTCCAAACCGATGACTTCATAAATTAAGGCTTTGAACAATAAAAGCCAAGGTTAAAAATTTCAATAGAAAACTAAAAATCACAAAAAGTGAGAGTGGACTTAAAAAAGACAGCCAAATACAAATTCTAGAGTCAAAAAATAAAATAAGCAAAATTAAGAACTCCAGTGACCAGTTTAGCATCACATTAGCTGAGGCAAGAAATAGTAAACAATTCAGAAGGAAACACAGGAAACAGAAGAAAAGAGAAACAAAGAAAAACATGAGAGGATTAGACACATCAGGTTTACAACGAGAAAGTACACTTTATGTTTAATTAAAGTTCTAGAATCAGAGAAAAAAAGAAAGACACAGGTGATATCTAAAGAAAAAATGAGTTAGCATTTCCCAAAGCTGATGACATATCACTCAGCAGATAGAAAAGCTCGGACTGAGTAAAGATGCACTGACGTGAACTTGTAGAAAACCACAGAGAAATTTTAAAAGTAAAGCCAGAGAAAAAATATACTCAAAGGAACAATTAAACACATGCAAAGGAACAATGAAAATGAGACCAATTTCTCCACAGCAATTAAAAAAAAAGTCCTAAGTTGTATTTGTCCCAACAAAGCAAGGTTGGTTTAACATCTGAAAACCACTGTAATTCACCCACAGAAAAATTATGTGGTCATTTCAAAAGACAGAGGAAGAAAAATCATCTGATGAAATCCAACACTAGAAAAAAAAAGAACTAACAACACTTAATTCCCTGAGGCCTACAAAAGTCATATTTAATAATGAAAACTTCCCCCTTACCAAGGAAGAACGAGGCAAAGACACCTTACATCATTGTTTACACTATACTAGTAGTTATTAGCCAGTTCAGGAAGGCACAGAAGATAAAGGTATAAGAATTCTGTATACAAAAATTTTAAAATAAGATAATTTAAAGGTTCAGGAAGTCCTCCACCAATCATCTTCTCACAAACACACCCATTTGAAGAGCTAATCACACACCAATACATCTGAGGAAGAAGTGGGGAAGCCAGGTAAGACACCACAGTGCCCAGGTTTAGTATACAGCAAGACAAGACACATCAAAAAAGATGGGAAGTGAAGAGTTGCCCACCTGCTGCCTCAATTTCAAGCAGCACAATGTGGCCCTTGGGATAGAACTCACTCTATGCCTTAGTGCCAGCCCAGTACCATGCCTGCCACAGTGAAATCTACTGCCAGGCAGAGCCCAGACCCTTCCCCAGGCTAGCACCCACCCACTGAGCCTCCGAAACTGGGTTAGCCAAGTGGTGGAGAGACTGCCTCCTCTATTACCACCCTCCCAGTCTCAGGCAGCACGGAATGGAAGACTACCTATGGGGTGTGAGGCTAGAAAGCAAGCACCGGACTAAACACTGCACAGCAGAGATACATAATGGCCTTAAAAGGAAACTAAGCCTTTTCACCAAGATGGCGCCGAAGACGAAGAAGGAAGCTCCTGCCCCTCCTAAAGTCGAAGCCAAAGTGAAGGCCTTGAAGGCCAAGAAGGCAGTGCTGAAAGGCGTCCACAGCCACAAGAAGATCCACACATCCCCCACCTTCCGGCGGCCCAAGACACTACGCCTCCGACGGCAGCCCAAATACCCTCAGAAGAGCGCCCCCAGGAGAAACAAGCTTGACCACTATGCCATCATCAAGTTCCCCCTGACCACGGAGTCGGCCATGAAGAAGATAGAAGACAACAACACACTGGTGTTCATTGTGGATGTCAAGGCCAAAAAGCACCAGATCAAACAAGCTGTGAAGAAACTCTATGACATGGACGTGGCCAAAGTCAACACCCTGATCAGACCTGACGGCGAGAAGAAGGCGTATGTGCGGCTGGCTCCTGACTATGATGCTCTGGACGTTGCCAACAAAATTGGGATCATCTGAACGGAGTCCAGCTGGCTAATTCTAAATATATGTTTTTTCACCATAAAAAAAAAAAAAAGGAAACTAAGTACATAGCAGCTGTCAATCCATCTCTCCACACCAACCCTGAGAGAGAAACTTTGTTCAGTGGGAAAAGTCAACAGGAAACCCCTAGCAGTTTCTATTCACACCATATACATCCAAGGCATTTACTGCTGGAGAACCCTGTAAAGCCCTTACAGGCCTGAGTCGTTTAGGGTGTTGCTTGGTTTTCACACCACTGCATTGCTCTGGAGAAAGAGAACATAAAGAAACTGACTACACTAAAATTACCAACCATGCAAAAGTAACTCCAGAGGCTGGTAAGATACTTGAAACATACATAACCAACAAAGAAAGGGCTCACATAAACACACACACATCAACAAAAACAAATCGATAGGAAAAAGATAACCCAAAGGAAAAATGAGCAACAGACCAAACAGGCATGTCATCAGAGGATATACATATGGCTAATAAAGGTTTCAAGCTCATTGCCTTGGAGAAAGCAAATTAGAAGCATAGTACAGTAACAACAGACATCTGTTAGAATAACTGACAATTAAAAGGCCTGCAATACCGGCCGGCGCCATGGCTCAATAGGCTAATCCTCCGCCTTGCGCACCAGCACACCGGGTTCTAGTCCCGGTTGCCCCTCTTCCAGGCTAGCTCTCTGCTGTGGCCAGGGAGTGCAGTGAAGGATGGCCCAAGTGCTTGGGCCCTGCACCCCATGGGAGACCAGGAGAAGCACCTGGCTCCTGCCTTCGGATCAGCGCAGCGCGCCAGCCGTGACAGCCACTGGAGGGTGAACCAATGGCAAATGAACACCTTTCTGTCTCTCACTGTCCACTCTGCCTGTCCAAAAAAAAAAAAAAAAAGGCTGCAATACCAAGTATAGGTTAGGACAAGAAAGAACATTGCTGGGGGCTGGCACTGTGGCACAGCAGGTTAACGCCCTGGCCTGAAGGGCCGGCATCCCATATGGGCACCGGTTCTAGTCCCAGCTGCTCCACTTCCAATCCAGCTCTCTGCTATGGCCTGGGAAAGCAGAACAAGATGACCCAAGTCCCTGGGCCCCTGCACCCGCATTGGAAACCCGGAGGAAGCTCCTGGCGGCTCCTGGCTTCGGACAGGCACAGCTCCAGCCATTGTGGCCAATTGGGGAGTGAACCATAAAATGGAAGACCTTTCTCTCTGTCTCTGCCTCTCTCCTCTCTGTGTAATTCTGACTTGCAAATAAATAAATAAATCTTAAAAAAAAAAAAAAAGAACATTGCCATAGGAATATTAATTATTCAATCACTTGGAAACACATAAGTGAATTTCACAAGTACACTCATAATGTTGGGTAAAGAAAGCCAGACACAAAATAATTCATACAATATGGTTTATTTGAAATCAGTTTAAAATTTCAAAAAGCAGCACCGCATATGATCTGAAGTGTCACCAAAAAGAGGCACTTGCAAAGTAACGGTTTCAGACACAGAAGCAGCAATATTCTCCTTCTTGCCCTGAGTAGTGCTTTGCACTGCTAGAATTATAATTCATCAAGCGCTTTCTCTTAGGAGCTTTTCTGAATGTCTGCTCTATTTCATGTCAAAACGGTTTAAGAAAATTAAATAACTTACCCCGAGACTAGCATCTGCCCATCGTGGGAAAAAGCACAAGCCAGAGCAGGAGCACAGTGCCCACTCAGTGTGCTTTTATATTTTAGTTCAAAACCTACAAATAGCAAGTTGAGAGAAATTAGTAAGCTGGTCACATACAAAATTTATTTTTAACCCAACATGACTTCACTTATTTGCTCAATAATCTTTGAGTGGCTAAAGAACACAAAAATTAAAAATCTGCATGCTCTGGTATCTATACATACAAGGAATTAACTGGAATACTGTCTCTTCAGTGGTTTCAAGAACTCAGTAATGGATGGAAGAAACAGTGTGCTTAGCAAAGGCTAGGGAGGGGGTAATTTTATACTACAAAATTAATTTTAAACAATATCACAAACAATTTTAGGGCCTGATGGAAAGAAAATAATTGACTGCAAAGACTAAAATAGTGAATGCTTTAATTTTTTAAAATCTGGCACTAGCAAAACATTTTCTTCTTCTGTAAATAAACAATCAAGGGTAATTTACATATCTTATAATTCCAATAAATCTTCATAACACTCTGATAAAGTATGATAACACTAAAATCCTTCTTATGCTTCCTAGAATTACTGAAAATAAATATCACTACTATTTTAAAGGTAAATAAAGGGAATTCAATATATATATTGGCAACCACCTATAAAAATAATTGTTACAAAGTTAGCCTGAGGGTGGCAAGGAAATAAGTGAAATCTATAACTCTGTAGGCACAAAATAAAGCCTTCTATGAAATGGCTCATAATAAAGACAGCAAAAAGGTCATCAGAGCAGGTGAAGGTTCAAAATAGAAAAAAAAAAAAAAAAACTTGTTATCTGAAAGAGCAAATATGAACACTAAAGCCACTATGCTAAGTGCTAGAAAGTCTAAATGAACTGCAAAAGATTTTCATTCTAATAATGAAATCAAGCAAAAATACAAAGCTATAAACCAAATAAAATACGCAACATGACTATAAATATAGGTTATGTTCCCAGTATATGACCCAATGTCTGACTATTCCTCCCTACAAACAAGGAAGTCAAAGTATCAGGTATAAGAAAAATGCTTTATAAAAAGGCTTTAAACATTTTTTTTTTTATTTGACAGGAAGAGTTAGTGAGAGAGAGAGATAGAAAGGTCTTTCTTCCGTTGATTCACCCTCCAAATGGCCACTACGGCTGGTGCACTGTGCCATCCGAAGCCAGGAACCAGGCGCTTCCTCTTGGTCTCCCATGCGGGTGCAGTGCCCAAGCACTTGGGCCATCCTCCACTGCCTTCCCGGGCCACAGCAGAGAGCTGGACTTGAAGAGCAGCAGCCAGGACTAGAACCCAATGCCCATATGGGATGCTGGTGCCACAGGTGGAGGATTACCCAAGTGAGCCATGGCGCCGGACCCCTAAACTGAACATTTATAAACTATCGTATACTTTTTTTAAAAAAACATTTAAAAAATGTTTTTCAGACAACGAATGAACTGCTTTTTTTCAAACCATTAATCTGGACATCCACACACACAACTGCAGCTATTGTTTCTTACCAGGATTTCACTTCTGCTTAAAAGAAGCAGAAGGCCAAAAAAAAAAGTTTCAGCAAATTCAAAAAAATAATCACAAACCAACCATGTATCTTTTCTAACCACAAAGATAGTTCATTTATTTGGTGACTTTCCAGTTTCTTGATGTAGACACTAATTGTTATAAACATTCCTCTTAACACTGCTTTTGCTGTATCCACAAATTTTGATTTCTTGTAATCTTTGTTTCCAGAAATTTCTCTTTTGATTTCTCCTGCAATCCACTGTTCATACAGGAACATGTCTCCATGTGTTTGCAATATGTCCTAGAGATTCTTCAGTTGTTAATTTTTGGCATTTTCCTTTGTAATTCTATCTATTGTTATTACCAAGCACTTGGTCTTATTTATGCGATCCCTTTGACTCATGATCTCAACGTATATGATCAATTCCATACTTAATATGATCACTTTTTCATGTAAGATGGGATTAGTGCCACCCAGCTAAATGGGATTTGGAGTCCCATGGCAAGTTCACCCCTGAAGGGTAGGTCTGTGAGAATGTGTGCTGATCTGTACAGCTCCTCCCTCTCTCATTCCCATTCTTATTTTTAACTGGGATCTATTTTCAATTGACTTAAAGCATCTATGATTAATTCTATGTTAAGTAAGGAGTTTAGCCAATGGTATTAAGTAGAGAAGAAAAAAAAAATAAAGAAATAAAGTGAAATAATAAAGTGTTCCTGCACAGTCAAGACAAGGGCTGTTCAAGTAACTGCTTCTCCTAGTGTCTGTTTCACTTCTACAGGTTTCCTTTTAGGTGCTCTGTTAGTTGTCACAGATCAGGGAGAACATATGATATTTGTCCCTTTGAGACTGGCTTATTTCACTAAGTATGATATTTTCCAGATTTATCCATTTAGCTATAAATGAACAGATTTTTTTTAACTGCTGTGTAGTATTCCGTAGAGTACATATCCCACAGTTTCTTTATCCAGTCTTCCGTTGATGGGCATGTAGGTTGATTCCATGTCTTAGCTATTGTGAATTGAGCTGCAATAAACAGAGATGCAGATGTCTCTTTTATTTGCTGATTTAATTTCCTTTGGGTAAATTCCAAGGAGTGGGATGGGTGGGTCACATGGTAGGGCTATATTCAGATTTCTGAGGTATCTCCATACTGTCTTCCATAGTGGCTTTACCAGTTTGCATTCCCACCAACAGTGGCTTAGGGTACCTTTTACCCACATCCTCGCCAGCATTTGTTGTTTGTTGATTTCTGTATGAAAGCCATTCTAACTGGAGTGAGGTGAAACATTGTGGTTTTGATTTGCATCGCCCTGAAGGCTAGTGATCTTGAGCATTTTTCATGTGTCTGTTTCCCATTTGGATTTCCTTTTTTGAGAAATGTCAATATGGAAAAATCTTCCATGTTTGTGGAATGAATCAATATAATCAAAATGTCCATACCATCCAAAGCAATTTACAGATTAAGTGCAATCCAAATCAAAATACCAATGCATTCTTCTCAGATCAAGAAACAATGCTAAAATGTATATGAAAACACAAAGATCCCAAATAGCTAAACCAAGCTTGTACAACAAAAGCAAAGCTGGAGGCATCAGAATACCAGATTTTAAGACACATTACAGGATAGTTATAATCCAAACAGCCCAGTACAGGCAAAAAAAAAAAAAAAAAAAAAATAGATGTGTAGAGCAATGGAACAGAATAGAAACTAACTTACATTTGACAAAGAAGCTAAAATCAACCCCTGGAACCTGGAGAATCTCTTCGACAAATGGTACTGGCAAATGCTGGATCTCTACATTCAGAAGTATGTAACAAGACCCCTACCTTACACTTTACATCAAAATCCATTCAAAATGGATCAAGATCCTAAATCTACAAGCCAATACCATCAAATTACTTGAGAACATCTGGGAAATTCTACAGGAAATTGGCATAGGCAAAGACTTTTTGGAAAAGACCCCAGAGGCATAGGTAATCAAAGCCAAAATTGGCAAACGGAAATATATTAAGCTGAGAAGCTTCAGCACTGCCAAAGAAACATTCAGCAAAGTGAGAGGCAATAGACAGAATGGGAGAAACTATGCAACTGATAAAGGATTAATATCCAGAATCTATAAAGAGCTTGAGAAACTCAACAAAATCAACAATCCAGTTAAGAAATGGGCAAAGGACTTGAGCAGGCATTGTTCCAAAGAGGAAATTCAAATGGACAACAGACACTTCAAAAAATGCTCAGTAGTGGCCGGCACCGCGGCTCAATAGGCTAATCCTCCACCTTGCGGCGCCGGCATACCGGGTTCTAGTCCCGGTCAGGGTACCGGATTCTGTCCTGGTTGCCCCTCTTCCAGGCCAGTTCTCTGCTGTGGCCCGGGAGTGCAGTGGAGGATGGTCCAAGTGCTTGGGCCCTGCACCCGCATGGGAGACCAGGAGAAGCACCTGGCTCCCGGCTTCGGATCAGCGCGGTGCGCAGGCCGCAGCGGCCATTGGAGGGTGAACCAACGGTAAAGGAAGACCTTTCTGTCTGTCTCTCTCTTTCTCACTGTCCACTCTGTCAAAAAAAAAAAAAAAATGCTCAGGAGTGCCAGCGCTATGGCATAGCTGGTAAAGCTGGAGCCTGCAGTGCCAGCCTCCCATATGGAGGCCGGTTCGAGTCCCGGCTGCTCCACTTCTGATCTAGCTCTCTGCTATGGCCTGGGAAAGCAGTACAAGATGGCCCAAGTGCCTGGGCCCCTGCACCTGTGTGGGAAACCAGAGGAAGTTCTTGGCTCCCAGCTTTGGATCGGCACAGCTCTAACCGTTGCAGCCAATTGGAGAGTGAACCAGCAGATGGAAGACCTCTTTGTCTCTCTGCCTCTCCTTCTCTCTGTGTAACCCTGACTTTCAAATAAATAAATAAATCTTTAAAAAAAAAAAAAAAAGCTCAGGTTCACTAGCCATCAGGAAAATGAAAATCAAAACCACAATGAGGTTTTACCTCACCCCAGTGGAATGGCTCTCATACAGAAATCAATAAACAATAAATGCTGGTGAGGAAGTAAGGGGAAGGGATACCCTAATCCACTGTTGGTGCGATTGTGGAAACGATATGGAGATACCTCAGAAATCTGAATTCAGACCTACCATATGACCCAGCCATCTGTACCGTTCATTGCAGCTCGATTCACAATAGCTAAGGCATGGAATCAACCCAGATGTACATCAACTAATGACTGGAAAAAAATTATGATACACACACACACACACACACACACACAGTGGAATACTACTCAGAGGTTAAAAAAAAAATGAAATCTTGTCTTTCCCAACAAAATGGATACAACTGGAAACCATTATACTTAGTGAAATAAGCCAGTCTCAAAAAGACAAATACTATATGCTTTCCTTGATATGTGGTAACTAATAGAATACCTAAAAGTTGATGTTTAAAAGTGAAATTGACATTTTGAGATTCGAAGACTGTTTACAGCCCTTGTCTCAGATGTTAAAGAACAGGTTTTTTTCCCTTCAGACTATCTGTTGAACTTTCATTTAGTGTAAAGTTAATACTATAACTATTATGTAAATATGTCTTTGTAAAAATTCTGAGAATAGGAGGAAGAGGAAGAAGGGTGGGAGTGCTGGGCAGGAAAGATTAAATTGAGAAGTATCACTATGTTCTTAAATCTGTATATATGAAATACATGAAACTTGTATACCTTAAAAATTTTTTTAAATTATTTAAAATTTTAAAAGGAAGAAACATGATGAAGAACCTGGGTAGACCAGATAAAAGGAACTCTTATCCTCACCAGCAAACCACACATTAAATTAAGTACTAAGTGTAACCTAACAGGCAACGGATAGCTACATTTCTTCTCAAAAAGCAATGTACTGGGCGGCGCCGCAGCTCACTTGGCTAATCCTCCACCTGTGGTGCCAGCACCCTGGGTTCTAGTCCCGGCTGTGGCACCAGATTCTGTCCCGGTTGCTCCTCTTCCAGTTTAGCTCTCTGCTGTGGCCCGGGAAGGCAGTGGAGGATGGCCCAAGTGCTTGGGCCCTGCACCCGCATGGGAGACCAGGAGGAAGCACCTGGCTCCTGCCTTTGGATCAACGCGATACGCCAGCTGCAGCACGCCGGCTGCAGCGGCCATTGGAGGGTGAACCAATGGCAAAGGAAGACTTTTCTCTCTGTCTCTCTCACTGTCCACTCTGCCTGTCAAAAATTTAAAAAATAAAAAAAAATTTAAAAAAAATAAGGAAGGTACTAATAAAGATATAAGGGTAGATGGATGAAGAGAATGAGAGGTGGATCAACAGCAAATCAGAAATGGAAACTAATTTTGGGAGGGCAGGAAGCAGATTAACCAATAAAGCAGTAATGGAGGGATAACAGCACATAGGGCAAAGGTAGGATCAGAAAGTTACTCTGACCTAGAAAACTCTTCCAGTCTTAGGACTATCAACAACTGAGAAAAGGAAAATCAGAATGATACAGATAATACACTTGAAAACAGAAAGGTTAACTCAGAGTCGGTACATGGAATGCTAATACCTATTTCCAATCCCTCCCCAAGCCCACCCACAGCATGTTCCACAAAAGACAGGGGCTATCCAAAGGCAAAGCTTTTCTAAGGAAAATAATGACTGCAGCATGGGGAGCTCTAGGGCCACACAGACATCCATCTCTTCACCCTCCTCTCCAGCATGGGTCAACTCCCCACCTCCTTCATCCAAAAGGGAACCAGTAACAACAAAGGCCTTCTAAACATGTGACTATCTAGTTCTTTTCTTTAAAAAAAAAAAAAAATTATTTGAAAGAGTTACAGAGAGAGGGATCTTCTATCTGCTGGTTCATGCTCCAGATGGTTGCAACAGCCCAGGCTGGGCCAGGGCTAAGCCAGGAGTCAGGGGCTTCAGCCAGGTCTCCCACACAGGTGGCAGGGCCCAAGCACTTGGGCCATCTTCTACTGCTTTGCCCAGGCCATTATCAGCAAGCTGGATTGGAAGTGGAGCAGTTGGGACATGAATCAGTGTCTATATGGGACACCAGTATCACATGTGTCAGTTTACCCGCTATGCCACAAGGCCAGCCCTGTCTAGTTTTTAATATACTCAGAACACTACAGATCACCAGACATTGGAAAAGAGCAAAATGAAACAGCAGAATCAGGGTAAGGAAAAATGGGCCCAAGAGCAAAGAAAGAAAAGAAAACAGAGGGAACTTAAAAACAAATGAACAACAATAACAAAACCCAATTGACATCCTGAGAGTTTTGCGATGATCATACATTCATAAACTAAAAGGGCCTTATAAAAAGGAAACAAAAAAGTACTTTTAGAAATTTGCGATGTGAGTGATGAAGTGAAAAATTCTAAAGAGGGTTAAGATAAAGCTGAGAATTTTTCTGCAAGTAGAAAAAAAACTTGAAAGAGGTACATAGGGGAAAAATATAAGACATCAAGGAACAGTTCAAGAGGTCCAACAACTCAACTGATGGGAGTCAGGAAAAGCAGGGAAAATAGACAAGAGTTTATTAAGGAAATAATATAAAGGAACAACGTATTTCAAAACTGAACAACACAGCCTCTTGACTGAAAGGGTCACCTGAGGGAGTAGCACATTGAATGGGAAAAGGACCCACAAATATCAAAAAACAGTAACTAAGTGAATCAATACAAGGACAGTGGCATAAATAATGTTTACAGAAACTGTGAAAATCACCAAGAGCTAAAAACGTTATCAAGCGCAAAGCAGTTCCCTCTCGAGGACAGGAATATGTGTGATGAGATGGGGGTGAAGTCAGAATCAGCAGTGAGCACCTAATTTTTAATTCATGTGTATGAATTATTTGATTAGAAGTTTCTGAAAATATATTTTTACAATCACTTTCAGACATCCAGAGTACCTTATGTAAAAAGACTAAACAAGTTTTTTCCAGATCATAAAAAGTTTAGACACACTAGTAGAATACATACCTAAGATATGGGTAGAAACAAGCCAAATTTTGACTAGGCAGTCCTGACCACATGATGCCAATCGAAAAAACTGAAGGTACTGCTCTCCACCTAAAAATGTACATTTATTTTAAAATAAATAAAAATAACTGATAAAACATAAACTCAAAAACTTTCAATTTCTTATAGTGAGATCTGTTGATGCGATTCACTTAATGTTCACAAGAAACATGTTAACTTACCCCACCTAATGAAACACTTGTTAAAGACTTTCTTTTTAAAAAGTTGCAACAATAAAAAGTCTTTTATTTACCTTCCACTAAGAATAAAATTCAAAGCTGCAAGGTTTCAGTGTTTAGATACTAAAGTAGGGCATCTTCCAATGCAATTTTAGGGGCTTTAAGGCTAACGCTGTTGGGAAAACTTAGAAGAGTCAGTCATAATCAGAATGTTAACTTTCTTAGGATGTATTTTTTTTTAAGTTTGGTCTATAATTTGAACAGAATAATAATTGGAATTTTTTCCATTTGCTTTAATGAAGATATAGGCTGGCACTACATAAATCCAAAATAACAAATCAGCCTATTCAGTGGGAAATACTACATAATTTAAAGACAGTAATCAATTAAACTTGGCATCTCGAAAATCCACTTAGTAGTTTGCTTACTTAGACAATTTCAGTGTATTGTTACAAATCCAGTAGGTGAACTTCCTAATTATTTGTGAGTAATATAAACACTGATATTGTCACCTTGATGTTATATGCATCCCACCTGATATCACAGATGCTGTTCCAACAGAGAGGGCACAGCACTCATATAAAGCATAACTAAGAAGCTTAATTTTCATCTTATGATTGCACTCAGATTTTAAAATATTTAGCAGATGTACCGATTTATACACTTGGGTATGTAATTTTTTCTATGGACTCTGTCTTTGTAGAAAGCAGGTGTTTTATTAACATACAACAAAGTAATGCTTGTTTCATTGGAGGTTTCTCTAACTCTGTAATAGAGTCCCACATTTCAATAGCATTTTGGTTTTTGTAGCACAGTTTCAGTCAAAGTATAACTCTTCACAGAGAACCCTTGATGAACATAAGTAATTCCAGTGATCAGTAAAAGTTTTTTGTTTCTTTTTTTAAGATGTATTTGAAAGGCAGAGTGACAGGGAGCTCCCATCTGCCTCGTTTATTCCCCAAATGTTGACAATGGGTGAGGCTTAAGCCTAGAACAAGGAATTCAGTCTGGGTCTCCCATGAGGGTTACAGGAACTCAATTACTTGAATCATCACTGCTACCTCCCAGGAAGGAATTGGAAGGAAGCTGGAGTTAGGACTCTAACCCAAGGACTTGCAAGTGGATGGGACACAAGTATCTCAACTAGCAGATTCAACATCCACTCTACTAAGTTTTTTTAAGCTAAATACTCAATAAAAGGCTTAGAGCAAACATGAATTATTAAATCTGATTAGGAAAACCAATTTTTTTTGTTTCTTGACTGAATAGTTTCTTTCCAATTCTGAATTATGTTACGTAATTAGAATTCAGCTAGGACAATGGAAAATTACAGAGCTTAAAATGCCTGTGCTTGATATTTAAATATAATATTAGAAATGTACTTTTCCTCAGGAAAACTATTTAAGTTTCAGTATAACCGAACCCAAGCTTTCTTCATCAGTTAAAAACTGGAGAGATCCTTTATCCTCAGGTGCAAATGAGAACATAAATTTAAGCAAAATGTCACAAAAGAGTCAATGTCCCGGTATTCACAGACATGAACACCAAATCAAAGAGTAACAAGTCCAAAGTATATGTACTTAATATTTTAAGTAGGCACAGCCTAACTGCCATAATTCCTATGATAACTACTTGAAAATCAAGTAACAAAGGCCAGTGTTGTGGTGCAGCAAGTTAAGGCAGGCTTGTGAAGCCGACATCTCATAGCAGAGTGCTGGTTTGAGTCCCAGCTGCTCCACTTCCAATCCAGCTCCTTTCTAGCATGCCTAGGGAAACAGTGGAAGATGGCCCAAGTGCTTGGATCCCTGCCCCCAGTGTGGGAGACCGTGATGGAATTCAGGCTCCTGTTTTCACCTGATTCAGCCCTAGCCACTGTGGTCATTTGGGTATTGAACCAGTAGTTGGAAAATCTCTTTCTTCTCTGTCTCCCCCTTTCACTCTGCCTTTCAAGTAAATAAAATAAATCCATTTAAATAACTATACTTTTAGAATGTGGTATTTCCCTAAATACTGTTTTTAAAATGCAATGTGAAAATAAAAGACTATTAAAAAACGATCTGGATTTAGTGCAGAGAGCTGGGGAGGCTCAACTGAAGTGATTTTTCAGACAAAATCTAAAGGAGCCATGTAAAACCCGGAAAAAGAAACACGCAAGGAATGAAAGAAGGCAAGAGAGAATGCACAAAGCCAAGAATGATTTGAGACTAGGGAGAAATAGAATATAAAAGTACTACAGACTTTGCTTTTTGGATTTGGGCTTTTATCTAACTTAATTACATCTTAACAATTCGCTGACAGATCTGAAATGGGGCAATGCCAAGGCAACCCTGTCCAAGTCTGGACCGGTGGTGCCCAGTAACACAATGACTGAGCCACACACAGCTACCAAAAACCTGAAATGTGTCTGGTTCAAACAGATATGCTTACAGCTCTAATATATATCAGATTTCAAAGACTTAGCACAAAAATGGGTAAAATATCTCATTAACAATATCGATTGGTTTTCAATTATCAAAATATTGATTAAAATGTATTTAAATTAATTTCATCTAGAAAAAATTTAATTTACCTATGTATCTTGCATTATATTGCTATAGACAGCAACAGTTTGGTGACAAGACTGGAGAGGTCAAAGGCAGAGCTTTCATCCTAACACAAAAAATGAAAACAAAGACAATTTCCCAATTGTGCTTAAGCCCAAGATGCTATATGCAGGAGCATTTTAAAACAGGATTATGTTGTCAAAAAACTTATAAAGTTAACTTTTGGAAGATTAAGCTAGTTAATAGAAAATAGCTTGTTTCCAATTTTTTAATTTCACATTTCTATTTAAATATCAAGATAGTGTATTTTAAAGATCACAATGAAACCAACGGGGTAAAGTTCTCTAAATTGTCATATTCAAGAACTCCTAATCTGTTGTATCAAGTTATCCACTACATATACTAAAGTGTATGTAATATTTCTTCATGATTTTATATTAAAAAAAGATTTATATTAAAAAAGATACAGAAAGATGGTTCCTTAAAAGGAATGAATTGAGAGCTCCTGACTTTACTAATGATGAAATGAAAATGAATAAAAGAACAAAAAGACATGAAAATTACAAAAAGGAATCTCTAGTACTTAAAAGAGTAAAAATACTAACCAGAAACTGGCTGTGAAGAAAAATCACAGCAGGTAATTCCAAGATCATGCGCTTTTTCACTATGCAGACATCTCATTTTATCATCCCACACTGTTAAATCTCCACACGAGGAGCCAGTGACCAAGAAGCTTCCATTAGGAGAAAACGCACAGGCCACCAAGGAGCCATCCTTAACACTACCACATCTGAAATAAAAGCAAGAAAGGGGATTTTCATTTTGGAACATCCGTACTATATATCATAGTAGATAACAGCAGCCTGATACCGTCAAAGGAGGAGAAAAGCTATAACAGAACTAGAGAGAAAGGGAAGCTGATACCTACAGAAACAAAGTATCACTTATATGCTATCAATGGACATATGCTTTCCAAAAATAAGGAAGAACTAACACAATTAAGCCTAAATTACAGAGATCTACACCAAAGTTCTTTATGTCTGTATTTTCCCTTATAGGCAACTCAATATGAAAACACTAAAATCTATAAAACTCCATAAGCAGTGAGGCAGGTGTTGTGGTGCAGAAGTTTAAGCTGCCTCTTGCAACACCCACATCCCATGTCAGAGTCCCAGCCTGATGCACACTGGGAGGCAGAGGACGACAGCTCAAGGGCTTGGGCCTCTGTCACCCATATGGGAGACACGGATGAAGTTCCAGGCCCCTGGTTTCAGCTTGGCCCAGCCCTGGTTGTTGTGGCTAGGAAGTAAAGCAGCAGATGAAACCTCTCCCTCCCCCATTCGCTCAGCCCTCTCCCTTGCCTTTCTTTAACAGTACAAAGTCAGCCATATATGTATTTTTAAAAAGACAGTATGAGAGGTCAGCACCTTGGCTCACTTGGCTAATCCTCCACCTGCAGCGCCGGCATCCCATATGGGTGCCGGGTTCTAGTGCCGGTTGCTCCTCTTCCAGTCCAGCTCTTTGCTGTGGCTTGGGAGGGCAGTGGAGGATGGCCAAGGGCTTGGGCCCCTGCACCCACATGGGAGACCAGGAAGAAGCACCTGGATCAGCACAGCGCTGGCCGTAGCGGCCATTTGGAGAGTGAACCAATGGAAGAAAGACCTTTCTCTCGGTCTCTCTTGCTCACTGTCTATAACTCTGTCAAATAAATTTAAAAAATAAAAAAAATTAAAAGATAGTATGAACCCATTTTTAATGAAAAACACACTATTGGAATCAAATGTATTTTGAACTTCTGTATTAAAATCACCCAGACATACTAGTAATGCCTTTAAACCCAAATTCAAATATAAATTTTTTATGGAAAGAAAATGTTGTGAACAAGTTAAAATTATCTTGCAGGGAAGGGCGGGCATTTGGGCTGTTAAGAGCCTGAATTACAGTCCTGGCTTTGTTCTAAATTCTAGCTTCCTGCTAATGCATACCCCAGGAGGCAGCAGGTGACAGCTCTTGCCACACACATGGGAGACCTAGTGTGAATTCTTAAATTTCTAACTTCAGCCTGGCCTAGCCCTGGCCTTTGGGGGCACGGAGAATGAACCAGTGAACGGGAACTCTCAAAATAAATAGACAGTAAAACACACACAAACACATACACTCTTCACTTCTTCATCCCAAAGCCCTGACCTTAAACGAGCACCTGGCCAGCTGAGGGAGGCTAGATCTGTGCTCTGTATGATGCCAGAGGACAACGAGGGAGAAGCACAGGAGGTTGTTTTACCTAGCAACATTTTAAACACGAATTGTTTTTACTGCCATTCAACTATACACTTAAAAAACGTTAAAATGGTAAATTTCATGTTATGTGTATTTCACCACAATATAAATGGCTATGATCTTAATGTTGGTAAGTTGCAACAAAACATTACATGGTAAGTAAACTGATGTATCTTTTCCCAAAAGAGTTTTTCCGGTGCGTTTTTAAAGAAATCGTCAGCAACTCATCAGCACCACCACAGTCGTAAGTTGTGTCCTCCGGGCTTGGTCCTCACCCAGCAGGTATCCCCAGTCCGGGAAAGGACTGCGTGGCGTCACTGGCCATACCACCACTGCTTTATTACTGAGAACGGTTGTGCCGTGACTGACAAAAATGAAACCAAAAATTACCAAAGCTTATTCAAAAGACTGCTTTCTTTGCCTAACTCTTACAGTTTTAAAAAAAGGAAAGAAATGAAAGTCTAATAAGATCAGTCTTTATTTTAAAAAGATTGGAAATTTAAAACATCTGTCCATTTTCTTGACCTTTAGACAGATGAAAAGGTTTCCCAGTGCTTTAGGAAAACTATCTACTTCCTAAAGTCATCAAAGTTATTTTGGGCTGTTTTCTTTTCCTTCTTGACTTTATTTAGGAGGGTCTATCTTGGGAAAACAAACAGGACTTAGATATGCATACCTATGCAACTTGTGCGACTGCGCATTCCACAAGACAACTGTTCCATCAGCTGCGCCTGACGCCAAACAAGTGGAGTCTGGGGAGAAGCGGCAGACCCGCACGGGGCTCCCACTGGGCTGTTCCATCACCGCCAAAGTCTGTCCGTTCTGAGTATTCCATAGGACAGTGGTCCCATCTGTCGAACACGAAGCCAACACGTGTCCTGAAGGGGAGAAACAGCAGCAGTGCACAGCGTAGGAGTGGAACTTCAGTGGAGAGTGTGGCAGTTCCGTGAAGTCACCTAAGGAGTACAGGCGGATGCTTTTGTCCAGGGAGCAGGTGGCCAGGAGGGAAGAGGAGAAGGCACAGCAGCTGACGTCATCACCATGATGGGCCAGTGTGTGGAGTAGCGTCACCATGTTCCTCACTGGATGTAAACCAGCCTGCAGTCTTTAAACAGATAAAGGTTACTCCATCCTGGGAGTCAGATAAATGCAACATCAATCCATATAAAAGGGCCAAAACCAATTCAAGACTTTTCTCAGCGAAAGATCCTACATTGATGTTGTTAAAGGACAATCTACTGCTTGGGACAGGGATAACTTGGAGAGACAGAAACATTTATAAAACTGTAAGCTCTGAGGATGGTCACAGCCACCACTGTAGCACAACTCCTGAGAAAGACTCTTGCCGAGTAACTTCAGACTGATTTGATGTTGAACTTCCAAAACCTCGGGTATTTATTTCATCTTTGAAACCTTCCCCATAACGAATTAATTCTACACACTGCCTCGTTCCAGATCTGCTCATCTCAAACCCCAAAGGCTTCTTTTAACTCTTAAACTGTCTCAGCTGCTCCTTCCACAGGGCGGGGCCAAGGCTATTTGCTCTGCCTTTAAGATGCAACCGTGTGATTCACTCATAAAAAAAATAACAAAATTTAAGTGGCAATATTGAAAGCTATATTGTCATATGTCAACTAACAAAGAACAAAATAATATAATACATTTAGGAGAGGAACCATCCCTGGGTAAAACAAAGAAACCAAAAAGAAAGAGTGGCAAAACAAGGACTTATCCCTCAAGAACAAATTCAGAAATTCACAATAAAACCCAAACTCCTCTCCGAGGCCAAGAAAATCCTGTGTGGAGTGCTTTGTGCTTGTCTGCTCAGATCTCAACACTTGCCTCTCCCTCTCTTCTTCTCATCTTTCCTGGCCAACCTCGATCCAGTCCTCCCATCTTCATAGAGTGGTTTTCTTTCAGCAGAACTGCCCTTGGGATCTTATTTCTCATGTAGGTCTCAGTTTCAGGGTCCTTCCTCAGAGCAGGTGTCCCTGAAGCAGGGACACTACTATCTCTCAGCTAGCACATCAGCCTGTCTTAATTCTCAGTCTGGCAATCACTAGCACGATCAGATACTTTTTGTCTCACAACTAGGATGTAAATTCCAAAAGAGTAGGCACTTTGCCCTTCTAGCTCATTTCTTATACCCGCTACATGTCAAGACAGCATCAGGCACCTAAGATGTTCAAATATGTAATTTGTTGAATATTTCAGTTTTTTCTCTAAATCCAGTTGAGTTCTAGCCTTTAAATGTTACACCCAAATATATGACGGGTTTTCTTTTTTTATAGATTTGTTTATTTATTTGAAAGTGAGAGTTACACAGAGGGAGGAGAGGCAGAGAGAGAGAGAGAGAGAGAGGTCTTCCATCCGCTGGTTCACTGCCCAATTGGCCACAATGGCCAGAGCTGCGCCGATCCAAAGCCAGGAGCCAGAATCTCCTTCTGGGTCTCCCACGCAGGTGCAGGGGCCCAAGCACTTGGGCCATCTTCCACTGCCTTCCCATGCCACAGCAGAGATCTGGCTCAGAAGTGGAGCAGTCAGGACTCGAACCATATGGGTTGCTGGCACTGCAGGCTGCAGCTTTACCTGCTACACCCTAGCACCGGCCCCCCCAAATAAATAAATCTTAAAAAAATACATTCATGGAGAATGCATAAATACGAAAAAAATTATCCATGGATTTCAAAAAAAATTTGCAGCAAAATAAATTTATCTTTTTATTTTATTTTATTTATTTATTTATTTTTTTGACAGGCAGAGTGGACAGTGAGAGAGAGAGACAGAGAGAAAGGTCTTCCTTTGCCGTTGGTTCACCCTCCAATGGCCGCCGCGGCTGGCGCACCGCGCTGATCTGGTGGCAGGAGCCAGGAGCCAGGTGCTTTTCCTGGTCTCCCATGGGGTGCAGGGCCCAAGGACTTGGGCCATCCTCCACTGCACTCCCTGGCCACAGCAGAGAGCTGGCCTGGAAGAGGGGCAACCGGGACAGAATCCGGCGCCCCAACCGGGACTAGAACCCGGTGTGCCGGCGCCGCTAGGTGGAGGATTAGCCTAGTGAGCTGCGGCGCCGGCCAATAAATTTATCTTTTAAGTCCAGTTCTCTCATATTACATATATGCATATGGAATATAATATGAAATCATAAAAAAATAAGGCTAGCAAATGTAAAAAAAAAAAAAATTCTGACATTGATTGGAAAATGGTGTAGAAGGAGGCAGTAATCACTCCTGCTGAAAGAACAGGCAAAACCTGTTCTTAATTTGGGGGCCGTCTGCAGTGCCGGCATTCTGTGTATGTGCAGGCTGGAGTCCCAGCTGCTCCTCTTCCAATCCAGCTCCCTGCTAACGTGCCTGGGAAAGCCGTGGAAGATGATTCCCTATCCTTGGGCTTCTGCATCCACACGGGAGACCCAGATGAAGCTCCTGGCTCCTGCCTTCCCATAGGCCAAGCCCTCGCCATTGCAGCCATTTGGAGAGAACCAGAGGATGGAAGAACTTTCTCCTCTCCCTAATTCTGACTTTCAAATAAATCTTTTTTAAGTCATAATTTTCTGTCCTAATCTTATATACATAATCTCTACCCAAAAAAAGCATCTTTGTTTCATCTACATCTTACCCTAAAAGTTCAGCCTCTTTTTTCCCCCAAACACAAATTTCAATATAGCCTAAAAAAAATAATAATCGCCTTGATTACACAAGATCAGGTGGTGCTTTCTGGAGAACTCTCAAATCCCAAGTGTGCGAGTGTGATTTTCCAAACTTTGCATTCCACCCCCTGGGGCACTCAGCTCCCGTTGCAGACGGAGGCCCTACAATCGGAAGCACGGGGACTTTCATCAGAGGAACATTGGTTTGGAAAAAAGCTCTCTAGCCTACCCGGACCTCAGCTGTCGGCTAAATCCCTGGGCACACGGGCCACCTAGGCGGTGTCAGCACACGCCTCCCCATCCACTCGAAAGCCTACCCGAAACGCGCCAAGCACCCCAAAACAAGGCCACTTACTTCTCCAGCACGAAAGGACTGGAAATGTGCCCAACTCTGAGACCTGCCAGGTCTCCGCGGACCGAGAGCCCCAAAGCCGGGAGGGGGGACAGCCGGGCGGCGTGGCCTCTTCAGCAAGGCGCTCACCCCCAGCTGTTCGGACGCCCGCGCCACCACCCTCAGGTGCGCGCCTCACCGCCGTCCAGACCGCCGCCGGCCCTTGTGGCGCGCTTACAACCGGATTCCGGGAAAATGGAGGCTTCAGATGCCCCGAAAGAGGACGCTCCGTGGGTTGAACCCAGTCGTGCTTCCCGACCTGCCCCTGCCGCGGGCGCCGCCCTTCTCACCTCTAGGACCCCGTGCGAGCGCGGGATCCGCCCTCAGGTGCCCCGCGGGCTGCGCAGGTCACGTGAGGCGCAGGTGAGGCGGGAGGAGTTGGTGCCCGGAGAGACCGTGAAACGGAAGGAGTGGGCCCCGCCCACAAGGGCTGGCCCCACCCACACAGGGATTCGCTAGGCGCATGCGCGTCTTTTCGCCGGGGTCGGAAGGTCTAGGAATTAAGGCCCTCGGAGAATCAGGAGTTCCGACGTGAGTATCTTCGCTGCAGTTTTCTCTCAGCTGAGGAAGCACAAGTTCCAAGGTCTAGTTAATGCCTGAAATGTGGAGTTTTTGTTTTGTTTTGTTTGAAAGGCAGCGAGAGACAAAAACATCTTCCATCCCCTGGTTCACTCTCATTGCCCACACCATCCAGGGCTGGACCAGGCCAAAGCCGGGAGCCAGGGGCTCCATGCGGATTTCCCACGGGCGGCAGGGTCCCAAGCACTTGAGCCATCATCTGCTGCCTCTTGGGTGTGCATTGGCGGGCAGCTAGATCCGAGGCGTACCTGGGAGTAGATCCCAGGGACTCCAATACGGGAAGCGGGTGTCCCAAGTGGTGGCTTAACCACTGTGCCAGTTTTAAAGGGGGCGCTGCATCAGCCGTCCTCATCCCAGCTTTAAGTTTTAAAATCTGCTTCCGTTTTCTCCAGCCTTTCCCGGAGTCCCCCAGATTCACAGGTAGACTGGTTTCCTTGGCGACTGGTGAGCAGTGGGCCTGACAGTCCCTTTTGAGCTACAAGGTTATCCAGAAAAACGTTCCTAGGCATGTTACCACTCGGTAACTAAATGCACTATCTGTTGTAGGACTGTTCAGATGAAAATGAAAGATCAGATAGCTTTTATTTCTAATCTACACACCTTTAGAGTTTTCTTTAATGAGGAAACATTAAAAGCTGATCAGCCTCAGGAAACAGGGAGTTAAACATTTGAAGAGTAATAACCTAAAGCGCTTACATTTAAAGGTGCGATGGAGATCATGGGAAATGATTTGTGATGAAAAAGACCAAAGGAAAAGTGGAGATCAAAACGGATGACTGTGAAGCGCTTGTGATTTTTAAATTGGCTAACAGTGCATCCGATTGAGACCCTGAACCCCTAACTACATGACAAAGCACTGCCAGATCAGTATTTTTAAAAAATGAGTTTTGTTTTTAAGGCTTCTTTATTTATTTGATAGACCAAGTGACAGAATGAGGGAGAGAGAGAGAGAGAAAGGGAGAGACCCTCCATCTGCTGCACAACTCCCCAAATGGACACAACAGCCAGGACAGGCCAAATACAGGAGACTGGAACTCCCTCCAGGTATCTACGTGGGTGGCAGGGCCCCAAGCACTTGGGCCTTCATCTGCTGCTTCTGACCTACATTAGCAGGGAGCTGGATCGAAGTGGAGCAGCATCATTCATACGTGATGCCAGCATCACAGGCCACAGCCTGACCCACTGTACCACAAAGGCAGCCCCTTTATAATAAGAACAGTATCTTTCCCCCCACTAATTTGATAAGCAAAATTGGGCATATATTCTTCAAAATAAAACATATAAGAAATCCCTGCCTACACGTGGCAACAATTTAAGCGCAATGATCTCAAGAGGAATTTTGGCAGTGTATTAGTTTGCAATCTAGGAGTGTGCAAACATTTGGGAGTTTGCAAATATCTTGCCAATATACTATAGAAACAATGTATGGAGATAAATTTATAAGAATTTGTAGAGATCTTTGAACAGGTGAATGAACTGGTTACCTTATCTCACAGTACAGTGTTAAAAGAGATATTTGACTTGAAATATTAAAGATATGTTTTATACATTTCATTCTTTAATTATGTAGCTATTGACAATCCTATTTTTTGATACAAATTTATTTTATCAATAATTTCTAGTCCTGCTCCTTGTAACAATGCCACTTAAAGAATATGGAAAAAAATTTTAATAACTTCCTTTTAGGCTTATTTATTTATTTGAAAGAATTACAGAGAGAGAGAAAAGACAAAGATCTTCCACCCACTGGTTCATTCCCCAAATAGCTGCAATGGCCAGGACTGGGCCAGGCCAAATCCAGGAGCCAGGAGCTAATTCCTGGATGCAAGGGCCCAAGGACTTGGGCCATCTTCCACTGCTTTCCAAGTCCATTAGCATAGACCTGGATTGGAAGCAGAGCAACTGGGATTCAAACCAGCATCCATATGGGATGCTGGCAACCACCGATGTTGGCTTATCCAGCTGCACCACAGGGCCAGCCCCATGGAAAACAAACTAAATGATATATTGAAAGAGAAATTAGGATCCCATGTTATGGCACGGCAGGTTAGGCTTCCACCTGCAATGCCAGCATGCCATGCCAGCATACCATATGGATACCACTGCAAGTCCCAGCTGCTCTACTTTGCATCCAGCTCCCTGCTAATGTGCCTGGGAAGCAGAAGATGGCGCATGTAGTTGCGCTTCTGCCACTCACATGAGAGACCTGGATGGAGTTCAGGCACCTGGCTTTTCCTAGCCCAGCCCTAGCCATTGCTAGATAGTGAACCAGCAAAAAGAAGAGCTTGCGCTTGCTCTTGCTCTCTCTCTGTTTCTCCCTCTCATTCTGCAATTCTTTCTTTCAAATAAGTTAATAAATCTTTAAAAATAAAGGGTAATTAATTTTTCAATTAATACGAATGCTGTCATTAGTATGCTCTCATTGTGGTACAGTGGGTTAAGCCCCCACTTGTGACACTAGCATGCAGTTTCTAGTCCCAGCTGCTCTGCTTCTGGGCCAGTTCCCTGCCAATGTGCTAGAGAAAGCAGAGGATCATGGCTCAAATCCTTGAGCTCCTGTCACCCACCTGGGAGACCTGGATGGGGTTCCTGGCTCCTGGCTTTGGCCTGGCTCAGCCCTGGCCACTCCCCCAGTTTGGGGAGTGAACTATCAGATGGATGATCACCACCTCTCCCTAGCACTTTGCCATTCAAATAAATAAATAAATATATAAATCTTTTTTTAAAAAAATACAATTGCAATGGATTAGAAGGGACATAAAGCAATTAGTGGGCCACTGCTTACTAGCGTGTGTGGCTGAGGGTGAACAAGAGCTGAAGGGAGAAAGAGGGCTGATGGACACTGGCAAAACTGGCCAAGGTGAAGGTAGATATGGTCCTAAATAAACCTGAAGCCTGGGCCAACTAAGGGGTGAGCTGGGGAAGTATTCCCAGCATCACAGCAAATGCTCAAGAACCCAGTGTCAGCGTTTTCAAAACAGGTGGGTGAGGAAGAGCTCAAGGTATAAAAACTCCCTTGAGGCGTCTGGGTTGTGAAAATGTACTGAACTTGACACACATGCTGCATTCATTTGTGTTTATGTACAATTTTTTTAAGATTTGTTTATTTATTTGAAAGGCACAGTTACAGAGAGGCAGAGGCAGAGAGGTCTTCCATCCACTGGTTCACTCCCCAGATGGCTGCAACAGCTGGAGCTGTGTGCTGGAATGAGAAGGCCATGCCAAAGTGGCCGCTGGCAAGCGAGCATGTTACTCAGGAATGGCTTTGAATCCCACCTGGCAACAGAGCCTGCCTGGCAACAGGCTGTGATTGGATGGATTTGAAACCCACATGGCGAACGGAAACTGCCTGGCAACAGGCTGTGATTGGTTGGGGCATAGACCGCCCCTTGACCAGATTAACTGGTCTTGGTTATATAAGATGTTGTACCAACTGAAATAAACGAGTCTGCGGGCTGCTCACCTCAGGCCTGCTTTCACCCGACTCCTGGGGTCTGTGTGGTGACTCTGCGCCTCTTGCCCCCACCACACTCCTCCTCTCAGAAACTAATCCACTGCAACATTGTTGAGAAATCAACTGCAACGGAGCTGGGCCAATCCGAAGCCAGGAGCCAAGAGCTTCCTCCGTGTCTCCCACATGAGTGCAGGGGCCCAAGGACTTGAGCCATCTTCTACGGCTTTCCCAGGCCACAGCAGAGAGCTGGATTGGAAATGGAGCAGCCCAAACGAACTCGAACTGGCACCTATATGGGATGCCAGCGCTGCAGGCAGTGGCTTTACCTGTTATGCCATGGCACTGGCCCCATATCTTATGCTTTTAAAAAGTTTTCTGAAGCATCTTTGAAAATTTCCCAACTCCAGCATGGGATGCTAGTGTGACAAGTGGTGTCTTAACTCATTGTGCCACAAAGCTGCCCCTTCAAAATATTTCTAATGGTTGTATGGATGTTTTGCATAACTACCTTCTGTTGTTGTGCTCTTTGACTGTTTCCACTTTTGGTTATCATAACAAATGATGTAGTAACAAAAAAAAAAAAAAAAAGGAAAGAAAATTGCCCAGGGATTGCATCCTATCTGATGCAATCGCACCTGTTATCACCCTTAGCACTCCTCCCAAGAGAGAACTTTGGAAATCCAGAAAGCCCTAAGCCCTACTGTCTGGGAGCTTGCTGGGTTATGCTCTGCACCGTGAAAGCTTCTCTCATGTTCCCTTATCCTTTGCTATTAAATAAACCTTATACTTTCTAATTGACTATCTTTCCATGGACCTGGTGTGAGTTGGAATTCATTCAGAGAAAGCAAGGATCCAGGGCTGCTGAACAAAATAAAAAAAAAAAAAAAAATGAGGATGGTGAGTGGTGAGTACTGGGCACAGGGAGAACTGCCTGACCACAGGACAAGCTCGTGTGGCTGGAAGTGAGAATACCAGGAAGCAGGGTCATTTGGAATGTACTAAAGAAATTCTGCAGTCCAGCTGCTTTTCCACTGTGGTGTCGGAACTATGTCGTTTGTTTGTTTTTAATTACATTTTAATTTCTCTTTATTTTTTATCTGAATGGCAGAGGACAGAGACAGAGAGAGATTGTCTACCCACTGACTCACTCCCCAGATGCCCACAGCAGCGCAGCCTGGGCCAGGCTGAAGCCAGGAGACTGGAACTCAATCCAAGTCTTCTAGATGGGCGGCAGGGACACAAGTACTTGAGCCATTTCCTGCTGCCTCCCAGGGTGCACATTAGCAGGAAAGTGAAATCAGAAGCGGAAGCAGTACTCAACTCACGCACTTCACTGTAGGCGTCAGATGTCCTAGGTGGCATCTTAACCAGTGTACATCACCTGCCGTTGTTTCTTAAATTTTTTTTTTTATTTTCTCTGTCTCCTTTTCTCACATCCTACATTCTCAGATATTACAATATTACAGTATTAGTAATCTTCAAGAGAATTCAAGATGTTACAAATGCTTTTTGAAAAATATACATTTTTATTTCCAGATTTATGGTTTTGATTACATAAGAAGATAATCCTAGGCATTGCTGAATCAAGTTCACTTAACAGTAGTACATTTACAGGATTAGGAAATCTTGTTTAGATGGTAGGCTAGCATGCACTCTTTTCGTGATACTGGTCTTTCGCATCCTAGATTTCCTGAGTTTGTCATATAACAGTAAGTCTCTATTTTAACCTGATCATGTGGCAGTAAAGTTTCTCCAACTGACTTTCTAGCTAGTTGAATGACTTTTGCCTAAGGGAAGTAAAGCTACTCCTTGGTTTTACTTTCTCTTTGAAATTTGACAAAGGAAGGACAATTGTCAAATTTGATTGTGCTAACATGTCATAAATATTGTAACAGATTATATTTCACAGAAATGACTACAACAGTTCTCAGCCCACATGCGCTCCTGGAACTTTGCCACGCACCCATCAAGAGGTGGAGGTTACATCCCCTTCCCGTGATGTAGGTTGGTTGTTATGACAATTCTCACGTATTAGAGAGTGCCATGCAACTTCCCAAGCTCAGCTGTGAAAGGCAATACGGCTCATGGGTCACTCTCCCTTAGCACCGGGCTACCATGCTGTGAGGCAGCCCAGGCCACATGGAGAGGAATGAAGTCCCTGCTGCTCGACCCAGGCCGAGCTTCAGCCAATACCCAAAACCTGGGAGTAAATCCCCTCGGAAAGCAACCAGCGTCGTGGCTTAGCAGGTTAAGCTGCTGCCTGCTTCACCAGTGTCCCTTATGGGTGCCGGGTTCATGTCCCAGCTGCCCCACTTCTGATCCAGCTCCCTGCTAATGGCCTGGGAAAGCAATGAATGATGGCTCAAGTGCTTGGGCCTCTCCCCACCACATGGAGACCTGGATGAAGCTCCTGGCTCCTAGCTTCAGCCTGGTTGTTGAAGCCACCTGGGAATTAAACCAGCAGATGGAAGATCTCTCCCTCCCTCCCTCCCTCCCTTCCTCTCTCTCTCGCTCTCTCTGTATCTCTGCCTTTCAAATAAATAATAAATAAACTCCGTTTTAAAAAATTTCCCTCGGAAGAGGATCCTCCGACTCAGCGGAGCCCAAAGCTGATGCCACACGGAGCATCAGGCATCTTCCTGCCGGGCCCTGGCCACACTGAAGATCGTTACTTTGAGCCTCTGAGTTGTCGTTGTTGCGGCTTGCAGGGGAGCGGCTGGTTTCCACAGGCGATGACTCCTCAGAGCTGTAAGTGTCACCTCTGTAAACTAATAACCAAAACGTAACTGTGCACGTTTTCTTTTGCTTAAGATGAAGTATGTTAAACTCAGACTCATAATGGTTTGCCTAAAGTTTAGAAAACTACTGTTCTGAGGTGGGGGCAATTATGATAAGTCCGTCACTTGATTATTTTCTTTTCTTACTAATCTCTCTCTGACTTGAGGAATTTCCTAATGCAGCTTCTGCTCCCGAATGTCTTGTTCTTAACGGGGCTACCATACATACATATGCAGTCACCCAACCCAGAAGCCTAGGGACCACCCCCACTGCTAACATCCGATCAGTGACCAAGCTTTGATCAGACCGGCATCCGTGTCTCTCTCGAACCAGTCCTTTCTTTTCTAGCTCTGCCCCTGCTGCCCAAGTTCAGTCCCCCCTAGCTAATTCTCTACACTGCCACGATAACCTCCAAGCTCCCTGGGCTCCTACTGCCATGTGCACCCCTCCACCCAGCATAAACTCTGTGGTGGACGGAGTGGTGTCAGGAGAACACAAAACAGCTCTTAGCTTCCCTCCTCAAACTTAAATATTTATTTATTTATTTGAAAGGCAGAGTTACAGAGAGGCAGAAGCAGAGAGAGAGAGAGAGGTCTTCCATCCACTGGCTCACTCCCCAGATGGCCGCAAGGCCGGAGCTGCACCATTCTGAAGCCAGGAGCTTCCTCCGGGTCTCCCATGTGAGTGCAGGGGCCCAAGGAGTTGGGTCATCTTCCACTGCTTTCCTAGGCCACAACAGAGAGCTGAATCAGAAGTGGAGCAGCCAGGACTCGAACTGTGGCCTATATGAGACACTGGCACTGCAGGTGGCAGCTTAACATGCTATGCCACAGCACCAGCCCCTGGATACAGAAGTTTTGAACTCAAACAAGGAAACAAGATTGCATAAGCCTGGGGGCCAGCACTGTGGTGTAGCAGGTAAAGCTGCCACCTGCGGTGCCAGCATCCATTTGGGCACCAGTTTGGGTCTTGGCTGCTCCACTTCTGATCCAGCTCCCTGCTAATGTGCCTGGGAAAGCAGCAGAGGATGGCCCATGTGCTTGGGCCCCTGTACCCATGCAAGAGAACCAGAAGAAGCTCCTGGCTCCTGGCTTCAGATAGGCCCAGTTCCAGCTGTTGCAGCCATTTGGGGGATGAACCAGTGAATGGAAGACATTCTCTCTCTCTTTCTCTCTCTCTTGTTCACTCTCTTTCTCTTCCTCCCTGCCTCCCTCTGCCTTTCTGTAACTCTGACTTTCAAATAAATTTTAAAAAATGCATAATCTTGAAACTCATCACCAGTGACATGCTGCAAAGGGAAACAGCTTGGAAAAGAGGGTGGGAGAGAAGAGGAGTGAGGGAGGAATTTAACAGAAAAGGAATTAAATTGATCAAGTAGAACTCTTTTTTAACTTTAACAAATATAAATTTCCAAAGTACAGCTTATAGATTACAGTGGCTTTTTCCCCTCATAACTTCCCTCCCACCCGCAACCCTCCCATCTCCCACCCCCTCTCCCATTCCATTCACATCAAGATTCATTTTTCAATTATCTTTATATATACAGAAGATCAACTTAGTATATATTAAGTAAAGATTTCAACAGAGGTCAAGGCTTATTTTGCAGAAAGCTCTGAAATGGGCCAGAGTAGTATATTTATTAGATAAATTGTAGAACCATTTTGTACCCAAAGGTGAATAATTACCAACTGATCCCATTCCCATTCTAAATTCTGTTCATTCATACAAGCATACTTAAAAAAGTTCTTACAAAGATGAGGAGCAGGCATTTGGCACAGTGGTTAAGACACCACTATGGCTGCCCATAGCCATATCATAGTGCCTGACTTAGTCTGGCTTCAGTTTCCTGCTAATGCACACCCTGGGAAGCAGCAGATGATAGCTCAAATAATTTATTTTTTTTTAAAGATTTAGTTCATTTATTTGAAAGACAGAGTTACAGAGAGAGGTAGACAGAGAGAGAGGTCTTCCATCTGCTGGTTCACTCCCCAGATGGCTGCAATGGCTGCAGCTGTGCCGATCCGAAGCCAGGAGCCAGGAGCTTCTTCCCGATCTCCCACATGGGTGCAGGGACCCAAGGACTTGGACCATCTTCTGTGGCTTTCCCAGGCCACAGCAGAGAGCTGGATCGGAAGAGGAGCAGCTAGGACTCGAACACTCGAACCGGCGCCCAAATGGGATGCCGGCATTGCAGACCGGGGCTTTAATCTGCTGTGCCACAGTACCAGCCCCTAGCTCAAATAATTTCATCTCTGCCACCCATGTGGGAGACCCAAATAGAGTTCCCAGTCACTGGTATCAGCATGGCCCAGCCCAGCTCTTTCAGCCATTTGGGGGAATATGTCAGTATATACAAGTCTTTCTCTCTCTCTGGCTTTTGAATAAATAAAATTGATTTTAAACTTCATGAAAAATGAAATTAAAGATGAATTTTTCTGGTGCAAAAATATTGAAAATCCATGCATAATTTTTTTTCATAATACACATTTTTCCACAAATATTTTGAAGACTTCTGTGTAGATATTTTGTTTTTCTTTCACCATTCTTGGCTCATAACCACCTCCCCAAGGTAAGCACAGAAACTAGAATTTCTCTTCCTCAAAGCAGATCATAGAAAGTGTACCTCCCCCTGCCTTTCTGTCTTGGAGCTGGCTGTAGTACTCTGACCCACCTTGTTGGATAGGAGATCATAAAGGCCCCATTTCAGAGGGGGCCTATCTCACCCCCATAGGAAGAGCACTGTACGGAGAGGCTGAGAAGAATCTGCACAGACAGCTGCCCCATCACATGCGCATAGCCAAGGGGACATGCAAAACTCAT